CAATGAGCACACATAATGGGGGGTGGTCACGGGGAAGGCAGTAATAGCACAGAGAAGGCAAGTAGTGACTCTATAGCATCCTACTACGCTGATGGACAGGGACTGTAATGGGGTATGTGGTGGGGACTTGATAATGGGGGAAATCTGATAACCACAATGTTGCCCATGTGATTTTATATTAATGATACCAAAATAAAAATAAAAGAAATACCATCAAAAAAAAAGATGGGGTCCCTCCTGTTCTTACCATACTGTTGATATCTCAGCCTTTTTTCATCACAGGCAGGAAAAGTTCATCGTGATGTTTGTCCCATGCCCCTGCCCCGCCTCAGACCTGCCTTACAGAAATAAAAAGGAAATAAAAAGGAAGGTATACGAAGAGCAGGTTTCTGGCAGCAAATCAGATAGCTTAGATGAAACGGGCTCATTCCTAGAAAGATGAGGATGACTAAAACTGACTCAAGAAGAAATAGACGATTTTGAATAGATCTTTAACAGGTGAAAAGATTCAACTAGTTAAAAAAAAAAGTACCATAAAAAGGAAAGTTCAGAACCAGATAGTTTCACCAATCCTACCAAATATTTAAGGAAGAATTAATACCAATTTTTCAAGAATCCTTCCCCAAAATAGAAGAGGAGTAAACACTTCCCATCTTCTTTTGTAAGCCTAGTATTAATGTGATATCAAAACCAGACAAAGACATCACAGAAAAGCCTATCCAGTATCTCTTGTGAATATGGATGCAAAGATCCTTAACAAACATCAGCAAACTAAATCCAGCAATATGCAAACAGAATCATACAGCTGAACTAAGTGAGATTATCCCAGAAGTGCTAGATTGGTTTAGCATCAAAAAATCAATTACTGTAATACATCATCAATAGAATTAAAAAAGCCACATGTTCATCTCAATGCAGAAAAATCATTTGACAAAGTTCAACACTCTTTCATAATAAAAACACTTAAATTAGGGATAGAAGGGAACTTCCTTAATCTGAGAAAGGGCATCTATGAAAACTCCACAGCTCACATCATACTTACTGGTTAAAGATGAGTGCTTTCAGGAATGAGACAAAGATATCTATTCTTGCCACTTCTATGCAGCACTGTACTGGGGGTGCTAGCCATGGCAAATAAGCCAGGAAAAGAAAAAGCAGCCAGACTGGAAAAAAAGAAGTAAAATTATTTCTAGTCACAGATGACATGATCTTGAATGTAGAAAATTCTAAGGAAAACCCACTGAAAATTTATTAGAACTAGTAAATGAGCTCAGCAAGGTTGCAGGATAAAAAAATCAATATAGAAAATCATTATATTTCTATTCACTTGCAATGAACAGTCAAAAAATAGAACTAAGGAAACAATTCCATTTGCAACCACGTAAAAAAAAGAATAAAATAGGAACAAATTTAACAACAAAAAGTACAAAACTTATACGCTGAAAGCCATAAAACATTGTTCACAGAGATTAAAGAATATCTAAAGAATTGGAAAAATATCTCAAGCCCATGATTGGGGGAATTAACATTGTTAAGATGGCAATATTCCCTAAAACACAGCCCGATCTACAGATCCAGTGCGACCTTTATCAGAACCCCAGTGACTTTGGTAGAAACTGACAAGCTGATCCTAAAACTCATGGAATTGCAAGGGACCCAGCATTGCCAAACAATTGAAAAAAAACAAAATAAGAGGATTCACATTTCCTAGTTTCAAAACTTACCTCAAAGCAAAAGTATTCCAGACACTGCGGTTCTGGCAGAAGGACAGATACACAGACCAATGGGATAGGATCGAAAGCCCAGAGGTAGACCCGCCACCCTGCGGGCAGCTGCTGTCTGACAGTGCCGAGACCGGCCAGCAGGGCAGGTACGGGCTTTTCCACATACGGTGCTGGGGTGACGACATCCACAGCGAAAGAGGGCGCTTGGACCCTTACCTCACATTATAGACAAAAATTAACTCAAAATGGATCGGATCAAAGACCTACATGTAAGAGATTAAGTCATAAAATTCTTAGAAGAAAACAATAAATCTTCATGACTTTGGGTGTGGCGAAGGATTCTTAGATATCACACCAAACGCATGAGCAACAAAATGAAAAACTGGAAAAAGTAGGTTGGACTTCATCAAAATTAAAATTGTGCTTCAAAGGACACCATCAAGAAAGTAGAAAGACAACCCATAAAATTGAAGGAAATATCTGCAAATCATCCATCTGATGTGGATAATATCCAGAAGGGACAAAGAACTACAGCTCAACACAAAAACCCAATTTAAAAAGGAACTTGCCAAAGAAAGGAGGCAGTTTACTTAGATGTTTCTCTGAAGAAGATAAATACATGGCCAAGAAGCACTTGAGAGAGAGTCAACAGCATGAGTCATCAGGGAAATAACAAATTAAAACCGTGAGACTTCACACCTACTAGGTTGCCTAGAACCTCGAAATCAGAGTATAAGGGTTGGAAAGGATGTAGAGAAATAGAGCCCCCATTCCCTGCTGGTGGGAATATGAAATGCTGCTGCCACTTTGGAGAATGCTCTCACCACCCTTCAAACACAGACATACCATCTGCCCAGCAGTTCTACTCCTGTAGTAATGTGTACCCCAAGATAAACAATGTATATCCACACAAAAACTTGGACATGAATGTCTATGGCAGCACTATTCATAATAGCCAAAAAGATGGAAACAACCCAGATGTCTCTCAACTGACGAATGGTTAAAGAACATGTGGTCTATCCATATATGAAATAGCATTCCATCTTAATAGGGAATGAAGCACTCATACACGGTACAACATGGGATGACCTTGAAAACAAGCCAAGGGAACGAAGCCAGACACACACACACACACATACACACACAAAAGCCTATATATATGATATGACTCCACTTCTAAAAATGCCCAGAACATGGAAATATACAGAGATAGTAGGTGAGTGGTTGCTTAGGGCTGGCAGCTAAAGGGAATGGGTTGCTTTCTGGGGCCATGACACGTTCTACAGTTGTCCTTGGTGGTGGTCGCACACATGCGTGAACATACAAAAAAGCATTGCCTTACACGGTGAATGGGTGAATTGTGTGGTCTGAGTTCTAGCTCCATAAAGCTGTTTACGAGAACAAATAAACCAAAAAATCATGACAAAGTCTAGGAAGCTTGGATGCTGCTGGATATTTGACAGTTACTATTAATATTTTGTGATAATCTCACTGTGGTTATGTTTTCTAAAATAATCTTTTTAAAAAATATATCCTGAAATATTTGTGAAGGAAATTATACCATGTCAGGGGTTTGCTCCAGAGCAGGCCAGGAGAGAGGACTGTCTGAGTGAGGCTCAGATGAAGCCAGGCTGACCCTGAGTTACAACTGCTGAAACAAGGAGATGGGCGACATGCCGGTCCCAATTCTCCCCACCCCACCCCCAGCCCTGTGTGTGCTTAGCATTTCCCATAGTGAAAGTAAAAAGGAGGACAGGAAAGTGGAGGCAGACACCCTGGATGGGACCAGCCTCAAGCACCCAGGCTCTGGGATGAAGGGCCGTGTCTCTAGGGCAGCCCCCTTCCCCACTCAGGATGGCATAGCCATGACCCCAGCAGCCATTTATGAGCGCACAGACTCATGAACTCAAGATTCAACCAAACCTTGTTGCCAGGCACGGAAGGAGCAGGTGGAAAACAGTTTTCTGCCTTTGTGGGTGTTCAGCATCCAGACAACAAAACTGGGATCAGGTACCTATACAAACCAAGCCCTAGGCCAGTAGAGGGAACAAGCCTTGTACCTGGAGGGGTGGGTCGCCTCTGCAACGTGATCCAGCTAGACCTTGGGGGACTGTGAGCAGGGTGCCCAGAGGCTTTCTACAGCATCAGAAAGCAGGCAAGCGTTCACCAACAAGCTAAACCCTCCCCACGCCTAAAGGAGTAGACTGTGTGGGCTGCACCCGGAGGGCGTCCCACAGGTGCGAGTCCAGGTCGGGGCCTTGCCACGTGACCTCTGCTCTGCACGCCTCCTGCGGCTGCTGCTGGTCTTCAATTCCTTCGCCAATAGAGGATGTTCCCTATGTTTCTACTGACTTGCTGCTGACAATATCACAGTATTTTGTTGTCCCTAAGTTTTAAACAGTTATATAGTCTATCACAAGGTTTTGTTTTTTTTGGAGGGGGTTGCTTTTGTGTTAAACGCTGCCCACCTCCTACTGGGTTTAGGAATTCACAATTGGCCTCACACTGGAAAATCTTTTATTTAAATTTGTCTCTAACAGATTGAAGGGAAAGATCATTTGATCACCTCTATGCAGAAATGCAGAAAAAGCATTTGATAAAATACAACATTCATTAATGTTAAAACTTTGTATTAACTAGTTGTAGAAGGGAACCTTAGTCACCTGGAAAAGATACTTCAAAAAGCCCGCTGAATGCATCATGCTGATGGTGACGTGTCAAAAGTATTTCCTTTAAAAATCAAGAACAAGACAAAGGTGCCACTTCCGACGGCCTCTCTCCACATACACCCCGGGGTGCCACCTGCCCGGGAAGACAAGATAAATGAGGTGTGCACCACCGGGCTCAGTGCCAGCTCCACTTAGGGAAAAACCCAAACAATTGCTTGAGGTGAGGATGCAATTCTCTATCGCCCCACCAGGCCTCCCCAGCCTCCTGCAGGCTCCTGGGGCCTGGCCTCTGGGCCTCGGTGCAGAATTCAGCACCCCAGGGTGTAAAAGTAGGCTCCCTGAAGATAGTGGCTAGTATATGGTTCCTCATTCTGCAAATTTTCTAAGTACAAAAAAAATAACACCCCTTGAATATTTAAAGGAATATTGTAGCTGTTTGGCATGCTTTTTAAAAACACATGCTTACTGCATGCCAAGACATTTCCTTTCCACGTGAACTGCCTCGGAAATTCAGCACCTCACTGGCACTGGCCATGTCAATTTAATTTGCTATGTGGTTATATTTTAATGGTCTAATAGATGGAAATACAGGATGTAATACAGAATATCAGAATTAGCAAAAACTGTTTATTAAGTAACTGAGACAATACTTTTTTAAAAGCCAAAATGAAAGTACCGAAACTTTGGGGCATCTGAAGAGCATTATGCATTATCATGCCAGAGAACGCAGTGCAGCCCATTTACTCAGAAATACTTCTGAGGCCAGATTTGGGGCTGGGGGAGGTGCTGGGGTCGCAAGGCCAGGAGAAACCAGGGGGAGCATGTTGCAGCGCCCGGCTTGTCCTGCACAGCCACTGGAGGCAGTGCTGCCCGAACCACAAAGGCATGTGTAAAACCACCCATCCAGTCAGGGCACCGCACACCACAGGCCCACCATCCGGCTTAAGAAGCCGGCAGAGGTGCAGATAAAGTTCCCTCCAGGCAGCGCTGCCTCATGGTCCTTCAGGATCTATGGTCAGATTCAGCCCCACCCTCCTGGGGTCCACGCCTGGGGACCCAGCCCCCAAAGCTGGTGAGGGGGCCCTGGGAGCTGACTGTGTCAGGAAGGGGCCTGGGGCCCAGCCTTATCCTTGCTCAGGAACCAGAGTGAATGAGCCTGACCGGCACTAACCTGGAACCCACGCCAACATGACAATGACGTCGCAGCCTCGGCAGCCTCCAGCTGTGGCTTCTGCTCATTGGGCTTGCGAGGCCTATTTGTTGTGTCACTCATTTAACCAAACTGGTGAGACACCAGGCTTCGTGGGTGGGTCACTGTCTGGGGTCCTCCACGGTCCCCCTCTCCCCATGCCATTGCACAACTCAGCCCACTCCTTGTCCCTGGACAGGTGGTCCAGCAGCCCCACGGAGGCATGGTCTGGCTTGAACTGCTGTCCTGCCCCCTCCTCCAGAGAGCAGGGCCCGTGTCTCCAGATCCGGCAGCAGCCAGGCATGAGGCAGGTGAAAGGGCACAGAGTGGGCCAGGTCTCTGGAACTCCTCAGACAAGGAGTGGCAGGGGTCCCAGGCTTCTGTAAAGGGTCCCGGTGGGTGGGTCTTTCCACGTTGTCTCCAGCTGGCTCCAGGCAGCCACGGAGACCTCCCCCACAGAGACACACTGGCTAAAGGAGGCGGCCGGCAGGTCAGCACCATCCCGGGGTCTGGCCCAGGGTGTTTGGGGACTCGAGTCCTCTGTGAGAAGGTGAGCAGGCAGAAGTCCCACCAGGAGGGCCTCTCCTTGGCCCTGGGCAGTAGCCTTCTTTAGGAGAGTGGAAAGGTCTGGGTCTTGACAAGTCTGCTCCATCCCTGCCCAGCAGAGCACTCAGTGGGTGGCTCTCATGGCACCTGCCTCGGTGGGGCATGTGGGCAGGGAGCCTCCCCAGGTAGGTGTCCTGGCTCAGGAACGGCTATGGAGAGACATATAGCAAATCAATTCAGCAAATCCCTCCGCTGGCCCCAGGCTGCCCAGCACTCTAGGACTGTAGTGGCTGGTGGGCACCATGTGGGCCATGACGGGACATGAGGTGGCAGAGCCATGTGTGCAGACCCCTGCAGAAACAGACACCGGGGCAGCCAGGGCGAGGCCAGCCAGTGGGCGCTGGGTACTTGCTCCCCTTGTGCGCTGGCTTCTCACCTTTGCTTTGGTCTCTTCAGCCGTCAAGTCCTCAAACTGTTTGCAACAGGAGCCTGTTACCTTGGCCATGAAACTTGGTCCTGACTTTCCTTCCAGGAGCCTGTCTCCCAGGGACCCCCGATTTGAGAAGAGGATCGAAGTATTGACTGGCCTTAAAACTCAGCAGGTGGCTCTGCGAGGGGCCAGGACGCAGGTGGTGGCCCTCAGGCCCTCAGCCCCTCCTGGCCTTCCTTACTCAGGGCCCGGCGCCTTCTCTGGCGAATTCACAGACCACAGCTGACCTGGCCTCTTGCAAAGGGTGGCTGGAATCCAGTGGAGGACAGGCAGGTCAGCCTCCCGCGTTCACACCCAGCAGCTGCTCGGCAAGAACCGGGTTGGTTTCTCAGCAGAATCGCGGTGTATTTTCATTCTTCTGGGAAGCCCAGGGAAGCTGGTTGCAGCGTGATTGCTGCTTCTGGGACGTTCTGTGGAGCCGCCTGCTGGGGAAAACTCGGTCCTGGACCCTCAGAGGGCGGGCAAGTCGCCAGCCTCGCACCGACTGCCCTTCCGGGGGGTGGAGCGCCCTCTCCCAGGGGTCACTGCCAGCGTCCCAGGCCAAGCTTCCAGGGTTTCAGGGACAGTGACCTCAGGAGGTCCCCCACAAGCAGTCACCCACCCCAGGCACCCAGAAGAGCCCACAGGCCGAGCTGTGTTTGGGGTGGGGGTGGGGGTGCCCTACGGGTGCCCGATTCCTAGACAGCCTCCACACGGTGCCAAGCAGCGGCTGGACCACCAGCACCCCGCCATCTAGGCCCCCTTAGGGCAGGCGGTCCTGGCTGTCCTCTGCGCCCCATTCCCCGGCTGCTGCGGGCACACCGGCTGGCAGGGGGCGCGTCCGATCCCGACCCGACATCACCGGAGCCCGGACGCCAGCGGACTCCGACCCCGGCCACCCCGACCTCCCCATCGACCGCGGGGGCACCACCGGTGTGGACACGCCGCTCACTCTCAAACGCGCGCACTCGCTCAGGCTCGCAGAGCTCTTCGCCCCGGCGGTGGAAACAAACCTAGCCAAAGTAGTAACTTCCTTTCAGCCGACTTGGCACCGAGCTGACCCCTTCGTCCCTCGGGAGCGTCCTGAGCGCGCCGGTGGAGGGCTGGGGCAGGTGACCCCGGAAGCCGCAGACACCTCGCCGGCGGCTTTGACCAGGGCGAGCTCCAACCCGCCCCCTTCCAGACACTAAGAAACTACGCTCGCTTTCCGGAACGTTTGGTATGCACATGGTTTCTAAAAACAGTTGATATATATCTGAAAGACACCCACAAATAGACCCAAGCCTTCTTTAAAACACCGTATTAACACAACAAAAACAAAAACTGAAAAAAGCAATGAAGAACAGGAGCGCGGGGGTGGGGGGGGGGCGGCAGTCCGCGCGGGGCCCTCCCCGCAGCCCCGCCCCGCCTAGGACAGGTAGTACACCCCGTAGGCGGCGACGGGCGCGGCCAGGCAGCCCGGCACCTGCGGCAGGGTGCCCGCCGCGCCGCCGGGCCCAGCCGCGGAGCCGTGCAGGGGGGCGCCCAGGGGGAAGGGCAGGGAGAATGGAGGCAACAGCGGCTTGGCCGCCAGCTTCAGCTTCGCCAGCTCGGCCTCCTGCAGCCGCTTGGCCTTGGCGCGGCGGTTCTGAAACCAGATCTTGACCTGCGTCTCGGTGAGGCTCAGGCTGCTGGAGAACTCGGCGCGCTCGGCGACGGAGAGGTACCGCTTCTGGCGGAACTTGCCCTCCAGCGCCCGCAGCTGCGCCGTGGAGAAGGGCGTCCGCGGCTTGCGGTCGTTCTTGTGCTTTCGGAGGGTGCAGGACGGGGAGCGCGGAGCGCCTGGGAGGAGAGAGGAGCACATGGCGGGCGCTCAGACGCCGACACTCCCGACTCCCGAAAGGGCCCGCGCGGGAGGCAGGCCGGCTTGGGGACCGTGGCCCTCCTGAGAGAAGCCCCGGAAAGCGCCTGGGGTCAGAGAAGACACCGGGCAGGGGCGGCGCGGGGGGCACCGCTGTGGGCCCGGGCTCTGATCCCCAGAGCGGAGGCCCCGCACGCCACGAAGGAGGAGAGCTCTGCCCCCCGGGGAAGTGAGCAGGGGGGTCGCCGCAGGAACTGAGCTGAGGACTCGGCGAGGCAGAAGTTAACCGTCGCGGGGACGCTCGGGGAACGGGGGCGGTCGCGCCGGAGAGACTGTCACCAAGAAGCTGCGGGCCATGGGTTGTGGGCAGAGGCCTGCTTGGCGTCGGACGGCGGGGCCCCTGGGGGCTTGCGCACGGCAGGGGCTCGGTCCGCCGTTCGCTCTCCGCACTCAGGTCGGACCGGTCAGGGGCCGGTTACTTTCTCAAGTTAGGAGCGACAGCGCCCTTCCCGCCCTGGCCCTCAGAGCCTGGGCCAGGCGCGCTCGTCCCGCAGCCGAGGACTGTCCGACAGGACACTTACGTGGGGAGGACGGCCGGGCTGCCGGAGGGAACCAGGCCCGGGGCTCCGTGGCGCCCGGCGGCCTCTCCTCCCGGGGTTCCGCGGGCTCCGGGCCCAGCATGCGCTCCGCCTCCAGCAGCGACTCCACGCTGAAGGGCAGGGGGCAGGGCCCCGGGCGGCCCCGGCCGCACGTCCTGAGCCCAGGGGTGTTCATGGCGAGCGACGCCGGGGCCATGCGTCGGCGGTAGGGTGGCGCTCAGCTCAGCTGCCTGGGCTTGGCGGCGCCTCCGCCCTCCGCGCCTGATAAAAAGGCGGCGCCCCTTTCATACGCCGCTGTCCAATCGCTACGGCCACTGCCTCGTGTGCCTAGGCGTCCATTGGCTTCGCTGACCCCGGGAGGCGGGACGGGCTGGCAGGGGCAGGTTCGCAGCCCGGGACCCGTGCGCCCCCGGCCGGGGCCCGTTTGGCGCGTCTCTGTCCCACTCGCTAGGCCCGCCGTCCTCCTGCCCTGGAAGCGTCGGGGACACCTGGGGAGTACACGCAGCTGGCCCCAGCCTCCCCACCTGGAGGAGCCTACCGGGCGCGGTGTGGCTGAGCTGCGGTCGGCGCACCGGCAGTGATCGCGCGCGGATCCTGCGACACGGAGAGCTAGGCACCATCGGAGGCGCGGCGCCGGCGCCTCCCTCAGTGTTGTCCCTCCGTCGCTGGCCGGCTGCTCTTTCCGCTGCGCCCCAGCACGGAGCCCGTGGCGCGTCTCTGCTTCCGACGCCTCGAAGTCGGGCTGCGGTGTCCTGGGCACCTGTAGCTGCCGTGCGCCTTCGTGCCACCCGAGCGTCCCACCGCCAGGTCCTTGGAGCAGCCGGCCGCGCGCGTCGAAGGTCCTTGGGCAGGCCGGCGGTGGGAGGGCCACGGGGGCCTACCGCTTACCCGCCTGTGACGCAGCGCTCGGGACACAGGCGGGCGCCCCGCGCCGCTCCTGGCCAGGGCGCGGAGTCCGTCGCTGGTCATTCGCTTCCTGGTCAGTCTCCCGCTCCGCCTTTGCTCAGCTGAACGCTGGGGACCCAGGGCCGGTTTCCGAGGCGGGCCTCGGGCGGAGACGGCGTCCGGTCCTGGGCTCGGAGGACAGAGCAGAGGCCAGAGAAGAACTGAGCGTATCGGTGTTCTTTTTCCTAAACCCGACCCTTGACTTACCTCCTGGGGCTGCAGGCGAGGCTCCGCCCAGCAGTCTCTCCCGAAGGGAAGAACAAGGGCTGAATTTTAGAATAAATCGTAATTGGCTTCGAGTAGGGACTGTTTGTCCGATTAATGCCCTAGAACACACAACAGCAACTTAAATCCATGTGTATTTATTTCTGAAAAACCAAAATTGCTTTGATGAAATCCAGCTGTGGGGGACAGTTTAACTGCTCAGAACAGCCAGAGAAATTCAATCAGAAAGTTCTCCTCCATGCAAATTTAGAAGCATCGCTAGAAGGAGCCCCAGGCAGGCTCCAGGGCCAGGCCTGGTGTCTGTGCCTGCATCGGCTCTCTCCGTCTGCCAGGATGGGTTGCCCCTTTCTAATGTAATAAAGATGTTCTGAGGTGCTTACACATCATTACATCATTAAAGCACTTCTTTGAAGGCCTCTTTCCTGGTAATTTATCTTTAACAAGTGTCTGCCAGTGGGTTTCAGCCCTGGACAGGCTCACTGTGGATTCAATGGGACTGAAAAAATGACAATGGAATGTTCTTGGGATGAAAGGGTTTGTACCAACTTTATTCCCGCTGTGGCAGGTCAGTCACTAGAATCTGTCCACTCAGAGCGAGTCCGCACGCAGCAAGCCGGTCTCTGCCTCTGGGCCTCTCAGTCTCTGTCCTCGGTGCTGCCACCACTCTAGCCTCTGCTCTCCTGCAGGGGTGTGGCCCAGGGCACTGGGCGGAGCTCTTTATGTAGACTCAGTAACAATGTATTGCCCACATCTGTGCAGTGATCAAGTCAACGAGGCCCAGGTAAGAATCCAGGCCATAGGAACCTTCACGTTATCCACAGCAGACCACTCACAGGAGTGTTTGAAAAAGAATTTTAATAGGATGGACAGCCTGCTGGCCCAGCCTCCCCACACCCGCTCAGGATGGATGAAGCAGGAGCCTGGGCGGTGGCCTGGCTGGTCTGGGGAGGATGGGGGCACAGGGCCCAGCTGGGTGCTGACCCACAGGACAACCTTGCCCTTTCCTGGCAGGGCCAGCACAGATCAGGCCCTTGTCTGGCACTGGCTCCAGCAAGGGGACAGAGGAGGGCAGGTGGCACGGGATAGCCCCCTGGGATTAGACTTGAAACCCCAGACCCCATTGGAGTCTGGCAAGCAGAGGCCCTGGCATGGGAGGTGGGGCAGGGAGTGGTGGGGGTGAGGGACCCCCACTTCTATGTGGTGGCTTTGGCATAGGAACCCACATCCATGGAAAGGGCATCTGGACACTGTCTCTGGCCCAGAAGCAGGCCAGCCAGGCATACTGCGAGCACAGGAGGCCCGTCACAGCCTCTGGCGATGGGGCCTTCTTGAGGTTGGCGGGTGCGGAGGCTGCTGCTCCTCTCCGAGGCCTCTGCCTTGGAGCCTTTGAATTCTTCCTTCTCCCTGCGTTGGAAAATTGCTCCAAACACAAGTGGCGCTTCACCCATGACTTTGGCCAGAGGGGCACCAGTCAGTGTGAGCACCACAGCGAGCAGATGTGATGGAGTGGACACAGACGGGGTGTGAGTTCCTCTGGGCGGGACATAAGGTGCACCAGGTGGTGCCTGAGGAACCGGGTGCTTCGGTCCCGCCTGGGAGAGAGGGTGCTCAGTCCGGTGAGGCCGGAGATGGAGGCGGGGCTGAGGGGAGAAAGGCCCAGGGTCCCCGTCCTGTGGGCCTGTCCCTTCCAGTACTTCTCCTCTCCCATTTTCTCTGCCAATTCCCTTTCACACTTACTCTTTACACCAAGGGCTAAAAATTTTGCCAAACCTCCTGAAGTGGAGATGCCCTCCTTTAGCCAGCAGCCCCTCGATCCAGAATGATAGGCACACATGATTTTTGTCTAGTCCAGAATGACCCCCAGTACCTGGGGGTGCAGGAGGGGCACGTGGCAAGGTGGAACTAGGCTTGTCAGTCAGCTGACCTTGGGATGGGAGATTCAACCGAGGCACAAGGGCCTTTGAGGGGCAGCCTGAGGACTCGGCCAACACTGACAACTTTTGTGGGCTCTGCCCTGGACCTCCAGCAGCAACCAGCCTCTGACACATTGGCCTTAGCCCAGGGAGGCCCATCTGGACTCCAGAACTGTGCAATAATAAATCTGTGCTGTCAGTCAGTCAGCTTGTAGTGACTTGTTACAGTTGCAACAGGAAGCCAATCCACTGATCATCACCCCTTTTATGGGAGAGGAAAGCAGGGCATAGAGAGAGGCATGGTGGGGGCAGCCCTGTGTGACCCTAAAGTGACACTCTGTCCTCCATACCCTGCCTGCTGTGTGGATCCCAGCTTCTCCTGGCAGGCTGGGCACTGTGCACTGCCACTAGCCCTCCCAGGAGCCCAGGCCTCTATGGTGCATCCTGGGGCCTCCCTCCTGGCTGCCTCGCTCTGCCCACCACATGTCCAAGCCCCTGGGCGGAATGTGCTCTCAGGCCTGCTAACCCAAGCCCGGGTGCTGGCTGACCAACCACGGTGACAGAGAGCAGGTGGCAGGTGGTCCTGTGCCTTGCAATGACCGGCACAGCTGCTGTCCACTCTGGACCTGGCTAGGCTGCCCCTGCAGGCACTCTGAGGCCTAAATGCCCTGGGCCTGAGTCTCAGTATGCCCAGGGTGGTTAGAGGCATGGTCTCCTGAGGATGGGAGGGCTTCCTCTGAGTCAGGCAAGTGGGATTCTCGGAGGGGGTACAGGGGCTCCTTCCCGGTACTGCCGGCTCCAAATGCTGCGTCTGTGCAGCTCCTCGCCTGTCTGAACTTCTCTTTCTGTCTCTTTCCCTCCATCACCCTGGTTCAGGGCCTGACACGGGCTGAGCTGATGAACAAAGGGGACCTGACACACGTGGAGCCTGGGCACAGATCAGGGACTTGGGGCTTGTGGAGCACACCCCTTGCCCCCCTGCTTTCCCCATTTCTGTGGAGTCCATGCTTCCATCCCTCTCAGAACCCTGGGTGCTGGCCTGGCAGAGGCTCCCTGGAATACTGCCCGGTCCTTTTGGGTTTGGGAAGCACAACCATGAGTTCTAAGCCAACATCCCCACCTGCCTGAGAATTGTCCCCTTAAGTTCCTGGGCAGCAGTGGCACCCACTGGGTCAGACCTCTGCAAGGCCAGGGGGCCCAGCTGCAGGGGTCTGGCTGTGGGGACCCAGCTGTGGGGGCCCGGCTGTGGGGGCCCAGCTGTGGGGACCCAGATATGGGGGTCTGGCTGCAGGGGTCTGGCTGTGGGGACCCGGCTGTGGGGGTCTGGCTGTGGGGACCCAGCTGTGGGGGCCCCGGCTGTGGGGGTCCGGCTGTGGGGACCCAGCTGTGGGGGTCTGGCTGTGGGGACCCAGCTGTGGGGGTCCGGCTGTGGGGGCCCGGCTGTGGGGGCCTGTGCTCCTCCCCACGCACGTGGCCATCACTGCTGTCAGGCCAGAGAGCAGCGGGGAGTGCAGCAGGCCCAGGAGAGGCCTGTGGGGGGCCCCTCTGGGCTGCAAGCCACGGGTGCTCGCCTCGCGTTCCAGTGCCCGGGGCACTGCTCTGCCCTTCTCACAGCAAACTGAAAATAGTTTTACTTTCTGGAGGGAAGAGGGTCTGGGGCTTGAACCCCCATTCCTCTCCTCATGTCTTCCTGTCCTTCACATCCTGAGGGGGACTGGGCCTGCCCCTGACCCCTGCCTGGGGCACAGCCGCCTCTCTGTCTGTGTGGCGACTGGCCCTGCCCTGCTTGGAGCCCGGATGGCCTGGGGAGTCAGCCACTGCCGTTTCTCATCAGAGCTGAGGGCTGGGCTGGATTGGGACGGCTGCCTGTGTTGGCGGGGATGGGGTGCTGTCTCCTGGGGGAACTGGCTGCGGAGGCAGGGTGGGGCTGGGGGGGGGCTGGGGTCCCGCAGCCCCCCAGCGGGAGCAATGACAACAGCAGCTGAAGTCCCCCCTGTGCGGGACAGCAGCCACCCTGGGGCCCCACCCATGGAAAGCAGGGTGTGAGCCCTGAGCGTGGGCTGCTGGGGACATGGCATGAAGCCCCACAGATATTTATGGGATACTATTTGGGGATTACTGAATTGTAAATACTTCTTTTATTTTGAGGGTCAACAACCTTTCTTTGGAGATACTTGAAAACGAGGTCGGGGTGGGAGTGGAAACACCTTCAGGAGGTGGAGGAGCAGGCGTGGTTTCGGACACCAGCCGCTGCCCTCGGGCTCCGCGCTCTGGCTTTAGGGCTC